TGAGATTGACTGATATTATCTAATATGTCAGAGGACTCTTCAAGACCTAGGGTTAAACATATAAAATTCAAATTCAAAAGGAATTCAAATAAAATCCAAAAATAGGAAAAATAAAATAAAATAGAAAAATAGCAAAAGTAGACTCAAAAGATAGAGAATGATTTTAGAAGAATTTTGGTCCAAGTTTCACTGGAATTGGATCTATATTTTAAAAGATATGAGCTTCTAAAGTTTGAAAATCAAATTAAATGTGAAATGATACTGTGTGCGGGTCCCACCTGTCAGTCTCTTTCTCTCTTCTCTTCTTCAACCTCTAGCCGTTCCCCATTTACGGCCGGCGGTGCTAGGGTTAGCGATTTCGGCGGTGATAGAGGGGGAAAGGGGGTTGCGGCCGAGGAGGGGAGGTAGCTAGGGTTCTCCGGCGACGGCGAGTGGCGGCGGAGGGGTTAATTTGATGTGTGGGTGGGCTAACGGCTAGGGCGGCGGTGACATGGATAGGCCGTGAAGGTGATCGGGGTGGTGAGAGTTAGGCATAGCACGGGGAGGGTTCCTAGAGCATCTACGGGGTACTTAGAAGGATTTAGGTAGCTTGCCGACTTTCGGCAAGGTGTGGAAGAACTTGCCGACGAGCACCTCCATTGGCGACGGACGAGCTCATGTCGGCAGCCCAGAAGGTGGCATGGTAATGCTGGCCGATTGCGAATATGGAATCTAGGGAGTACGTAGATGGTTAAAATGAAAGAACTCACCGAGATAGGCTGAGACGACGGATTGCGGCCGGAAAAACTTCTCGGCGGTGAGAACCAGAGCAGAGCAGGGGCGACAGTGCTTAGCTCGGTGCGACGAGGTGAAACTCGACGCAAAGCTTCGGTTAGGCTCCAATATGCTAGAGCATGGTTGATATTAGGTGTTCTAAGGATTAGTTAGGATGGAGAGTGGATGGAGGGGCGTGAAGTCAATCGCACACAAGGTGTTCGACCGACGGGCGGAAGTGGTTGATGGTATGGTTTGGCAAAGCAGAGCTTCAGGGTTGTGGGGTTATGGTTGATGATGATCGATGATGGACAAGGAAGGGATTGGGGTCCTATTTATAGGGCCAGAAGAAGTGGATGAGCTCGGGCGCCATCAACGCCATTGATGAGCTTGGAAATTGAGCACGGCAGGGGTGGCAGGGAGCTGTGAGAGGGAGGGCAAGATCAATTTGAGTGGCGGGAGGCCACGTTCGAATTCTTACTGACGAAGGCTTGACTTGACCATGGGTGAAAACGTCTGGCGACGTGTTGGCGCCAATCCGGGCTCGACGCGCGGCAGCGGCGAGGGTTAAAACGGTCAGCATGGCGGTGGTCGGTTTGAATTGTGATAGGGGAAACCACCGCTTATCTTCAATCCAACAGTGCGGCAAGAATTGGCGCGATTCACCCCGGGTAGAAGCGAATTCGGACTTGGCGGCGGCTTTGGACGGGCGTGCACAGCGTCGAGCGGCGGTAACTTGCGGCGGAGGTCATCCTGGCTTCGTCTTCATCACGATTGGTGCGGTGGCGGTGGTCTTAGGGCGTCGAACGACTAGCGGCGCGCCAAGGCGGTCGGGCACACGCGAACGGCCCTGAAGCCGACGCGCGGCGGCTCGGCGTGCGGCGATGGAGGATGCCAGGGTGGCGCAAGTAAAGGGGGTGGAAAAGGCAAAGTGAACCACAGTTTTGGATGGGTTGTGGTCCCCAAGGATCAAACTTAGACTTTGCAAAGGTTTGGGTAGATGTTGGGCTGAGATAGTTGGGCTGGGCATTTCATCGAACACCTTGAGGGCAATGAATAGTGTTTTCAGAAATTTTGAATATTTTTCCTAGAAAAGAATGAATTTAATCTATAAGTTTGAAAGGGTTTCACTAGGGTTTAGAGTATAGAAAATTCTCACTAATGAAAGGGGGTAAACTAAAGAAATATACTAAAGTTCGAAATTTGTGAGAATTTGCTAAAATTCACTAAGTTTTAGGATAAAGGGAATAATTAGGGTAAGTTAAAAGAGTTCTAAAGGAATAATACTTGAACCAATAAAAGGATTCAAATAAAATTTTAAATTGTACTAATCTAGTCAAAAACCAGCATGATGCAGTCAAATTTTAGTTTAAAATTTGAGGATGTTACATTATTATACAATGCGAAGAAGCCTAGCTAGTAGTATTTTGAAACTTAGGCTTTTCCCATTGTCTTTATTTGGTGATGCATTTACTTGGGTTTATTTCACTTGCACCAACTCTATTCATGATTGGTCTGAGTTAGAACAAAAATATCATGATTACTTCTTTAATTAGTGGTGAGTCCGAATTAAATTTGTCGTACTTAATATCGGTTAAAAAAAGTATAATGAGCCTACTTTTGATCTACATTAGAAGATTTTATATATACAAGAAACCGATGTTATAGTTTAACACTTTCTGATAAGGTCTTGGTAGATTTGCCTTATTCTGGTTTACTTGAATATTTAAAAGAAAAGCTAGATGGTCATACTTTCTTAGATGTAAGCCAATTACTTCAAATGGCTTTGACTCAAGAGAGCCAAGTTAAAGAGGCCAAAATCTCATAGAAATTTATGTCTGATTGTTCCCATGTTAATATAGTTTATGAACAAGAATCTTTGAACAATGAGACAGTTGATGTATACATAGACGAATGGGTTTGGAACTCCAACTCTAAACCATTCGTTTGCTCCGTTCTTAAGCTGGTTAGTCGTAAGAATCGACAAGAGGAAATAACGTTCACTTTTGATGTGGCCAAATGCAATTAGAAACAAAGGTAGCTCATCCACCTGCATTACCTTTTCCTATACAGACTGCTGAATTGCAAGAGAAGGAGATTCCCGATGGCAAGGAGAAGACCACATTGAAGACTTCAATACTTAGGGGGCAAGGTGACAATCTGGAGATATCAAAATATGACAAGCAACCAAGGAGATCAAGTTCATCTACCAAGCGAGTATGCACCACCGGCAACTAACTTCTCCTTCTTCATGGTATTACACTTGGAGACCACATTGAAGACTTCAATACTTAGGAGGCAAGATGACAATCTGGAGATATCAAAATATGACAAGCAACCAAGGAGATCAAGTTCATCTACCAAGTGAGTATGCACCACCGGCAACTTACTTCTCCTTCTTCATGGTATTACGCTTGGTTTGCATTATGGAGTTTTAATGGTATGTGGATGATGCCTATTTATATACCATATTATCATCCATTATGGGCATTGCCGGTTGCCACATTGACCGATTTTAAATAATCAACCACACTCATCTCATAGCCGGTTGAGAGAAAATAATCAGTCACAAAAGAATCCACACAAGAAAGTGGCGAGGCAAGAGTGGAGGCTAAAGAAAAACAAAATACAATCTGAACAAGAGGGGCCTCTCGTAGCTTTCTTACATCACCATTAAACATTTAAGCCTTAGAGGCATTCATGGCCGGTATTGGTGGATATCGCCCTTAGATGATCTCATGCATAGTATTTTTTGGCTCACAAGTTTGCCGAAAAGACAGGGGGGCATGTGTTGATAATCAAATTTGGCAGTAGAGTCGAGTTATAGCAAGTTTGAGCCAAATTTATAAAATGCCAGAGCTTTCCCGCGAAGACTGGTGTGACCGTTATTATGTGGCCGGTCAAACCGGACAATGCACTGTGATTAGACCATAGGTATCCAGGCGGTTAGACCTTAATCACATAGTCCGAGTCCAATTTAATTTAGATACTTCTCGTGTTTTCTTGTTTTACACCAAAATTTTTGAGTCCTAGTTGATTTATATGCCTAATTGCATATGAAAAAACCCCAGGAAGCAAGTCCACCCCTCCTATAAATATAAGGGGGCCAAGGACGGGGGGCCCTAATGGGCGATCGATCGCCAGGCGATCGCCTGGGCGATCGGATCCAGCCCCCCTCCCCCTATACTCCCTCCTCTCCCCTATTCCTCCTCCCCTTCTCCTCTTTATACTACAGTAGACTACACAAATTTTTTTGAAAAATAAAAGTTAGAAAAATTTATGTATAGAAATACTATATATAAAAAATTTGAATTCAAATTCAAATTTGAATCGAGTATGTAAACTTTTGACTTATAAACTTTGGGTCTATAAACTTTAGGTGTATAAACTTTAGATGTATAGAAATACTATATATAGAAAATATTTGAATTCAAATTCAAATTTGAATAAGATATAATTCAAATTCAAATTTGAATCGGGTATATAAACTTTAGGTCTATAAACTTACTTTAGGTCTAAAGTTTAAACTTTAGGTGTATAAACTTTAGATGTATAGAAATACTATATATGAAAAATATTTGAATTCAAATTCAAATTTGAATCGGATATTTGAATTCAAATTCAAATTTGAAACGGGTATATAAACTTTTGACTTATAAACTTTAGGTCTATAAACTTTAGGTGTATAAACTTTAGATGTATAGAAATACTATATATATATAAATATTTGAATTCAAATTCAAATTTGAATAGGATGTATAAACTTTTGACTTATAAATTTTTGGTCTCTAAACTTTAGATGTGTAAACTTTAGGTGTATAAATTTACTAAAATAGGAAAGTAATGCGGTGCCAACAAAGGAAACAAGGTGGAGAGATGGAGGGAAGGAGGGGGGGGGGGCGCAAAAACTGATCGCCCTGAGCGATTAAGGGCGATCGCTCGCCCAGTAGCATTCCTGGCCAAGGACGATTGAAACAACAAGCAACCAATCGTCAAAATCAATTTATTTATCCAAACCCTCTATATTCTACATATATCTCCCTCCTTCTTGCTACCTATCTCAAATTTTATTATCCTCAAATCCTCAATTGCTTGGCATCTGTCGTTTCCACGGTATTAGAAGATGCCCTAGCTTGCCTGCCGAGCTTAGGATAAACCAACGTTCGTTCACCCTGGCAGGTGGGTGTTCGTTGGGCGCAAGTTGCACATAACGTGCTAAGATGTGGTGTTGTGATTCTACGTCAACATGAACAATCTTAAAAATACATAAAGAGATTACATTACGTAGAACACATACCGCATTACATATGCGAATAAATAGAGACAACGACACACAGGAGCACTCTGAAACGCGCATTATTTTTCACCTGAAAGGCAATGCTTATGCACTGACTCCAAGTCTCCAACACATATATCGACCGATCGATCTCACACACAGTCACACTCCTCTCACATCTCACAACTTTTATTTATTCTTCACGAACAAGCTGACCTGCAAATTAATTAATCACGCAACCAAGTGTGGATTGATGGAATGGATGATCGATCGATTCAGTGGTAGACCGGCGGAGAGCTGGGAGACGGCGCAGCTCCGCCACTGTTCCCCTGGGCGCCGCCACCACCGTTTCCCGCACCGCCACCACCACCGTTCGCCGGCAATGGCGTTGGCTTGGGATCCGGCTTGGGTTCGGGGCCTTGGGGTTTCTTGTGGAAATAGTCGAAGAAGGGGTGCTTGTGGAAGTAGTCGTACAGGAACGCCGACGTGCACTCCGCTGGCGACGTGGAGGAGTACATCCTCTTGCCGGCGACGGCCACGAAGGTGTTAGCCTTATCGACGCCGTTGTCCGTTGTTGACGACAGCGGCACGATCTTGGACGGCTCCTGCCCGGGGCACGGCGTGCTGCTCGCCGCGCTGTGCAGCTGCGCGAAGCAGTCGGCGGCGCCGTGGAGGTCGTCAGCGGCGAGGGGCACGCTGAAGGCGCCGTCGCCGTCGAGGTCGCCGATGGCCTTGCTCTCGTACACACCGTCGCTGTTCTTGCACTTGATCGCCACCTGGAGACCTGAACATCACCAAAAAATTAATCAACGACGGTGATATATCGTTCGATCGAACTGACCACGCAATTAATTAGCGACGAACATATATATCATGATATATATACCCTTGAAAGCATCCTGCGCCTTCATGTTCTTCCTGGTGCACTCGCCGCACTTGGCCTGGCCGACGACGATCGCCGCCGCCTCGCCGTCCGCAGCGGCGGTGACAGCCATCACGAGGGCGGCGCAGACGATGGCGGCGAAGAGTAGTGCTCGTGCTACAGCTGCCATTGCTGAATCAATCCTAGAAAACTCTATTGCTCTTTGGACTATGTGGCAAGAGGCTAGAGCTGTGTGTGTCGATGAGTGAAGAAAAATCAGGCATATGCATGTGGTTTATATAGATCGATAAAGGCTACTAGTTGGGAGTGATCTGAGGTCAGCTAATTATATTACAGTACAACATGATTAGCAATTTGCGCCGATTTTGCAGGTTTAAAATCATTCACGCCGTGCATTTTATTTGATTTGATCAGACACCGATCGATTAAGAGTAGCAGCTAGCAGTTCATGGAGGCACTGTGAACATTCACACTGCATGCAGTGGTGACTGTTGATGCTCTTGCCGCCGATTGGTGGTGTTTAACAAGCAAAGTTAAGCTTTAATCGACTGGTACTCCTAGAGCGCACAGTACTACTAGCCTGTTTTATGAAAAGGGAGAATAGTTCTGTAGTATAGGACAGTTCCAACCAAATTGCATGATTGATACTATTTGTAAGTAAATGAGTAAATTTCACAAAAAACTACAAATACTTTGATCAAACTATTGCAAAACTATTGATTTAAGGTATTATATCATAAAACTAAGTACATATAGTGTTAAGTTTATCACAAAACTAAAGATTTGAAATATATGGTCACAAAGCTATAGATTAAGTAACAAAATTATTACAAAACTACATGTTTATAGTGCCAATTTAATCACTTCCTCCTGATTGATATTCGATGTGACTTGTGGCTATGGCTTATGATTCGATGCTCTTCTCTCCTAGGGGCTATATATTTATATGGACAATCAATTTTTTGTTAAGTAGAATTTGAGGAGTTCATATGGGATATGAACAAGTAAGAGTCTTGTCAGATCCTGTAGTCAATGGCACATGAGCATAACCCAAGAGTCTTAGCGATGAGATTGCCGAAGCTTTCAAAAATGCTTTCGGCATAGATACTAGGGTTAAAAGGCGTATATATCAAAAACTCTATACTGGCCACTACGATAATGTTCAATATCCTCAAGGGTTTTGATTGCCTCATTGTGTAAGTTCACTGGAGAACATGGCCGGTCTACTTTAGAGGATATCGACCAGTTTATTATTCAATGCGAAGAAGCTAGTGCTAGTAGTATTTTGAAACTTAGGCTTTTTCCCATTGTCTTTATTTGGTGATGCGCGCAATTTTTTGGGTTTATTTCACTTGCACCAACTGTATTCATGATTGGTCTGAGTTAGAACAAAAATATCATGATTACTTCTTTAATTAGTGGTGAGACCGAATTAAACTTGTCGTACTTAACCTCGGTTAAACAAAAGTATAACGAGCCTACTTTTGAATACATTAGAAGATTTATATATATAAGAAACTGATGTTATAGTTTAACACTTTCTGATAAGGTCTTGGTAGATTTGGCTTATTCTGGTTTACTTGAATATTTAAAAGAAAAGCTAGATGGTCATACTTTCTTAGATGTAAGCCAATTACTTCAAAAGGCTTTAACTCAAGAGAGCCGAGTTAAAGAGGCCAAAATCTCGCAAAAAGTTAAGTCTGATTGTGCCCATGTTAATATAGTTGATCAACAAGAATCTTTGAACAAAGAGACAGTTGATGTATACATACACAAATGGGTTTTGAACTCCAACTCTAAACCATCCGTTTGCTCCGCTCTTAAGCTGGTTAGTCGTAAGAATCAGCAAGAGGAAATAAAGTTCACGTTTGATGTGGCCAAATGCAATAGGATTTTTGAATAATTACTAGTAAAAGAAGAAAATTAAATTGTCACATGGCCACGCCATACCTTCACTTGAAGAATAGAGCGGCGAGCATATTATAAGTGTCACAACTCCAATTCTCATGCCACAAATGATTGCAATGTATTCCATAGACAAGTTCAATCGGCAATTGACGAATGACGATTGACTTTTACAAAGATGCAGGTGGATGAGCTACCTTTTCCTATACAGACCGTTGAATTGCAAGAGAAGGAGATTCCCGATGGCAAGGAGAAGACCACATTGAAGACTTCAATACTGTCGGTGAAATGGGCCCGGGGGTACGCACAGTAGAGGGAAGTATCCTTCCCATCTAGTCGCGTGGCTACGTGGCCTCGCCTCCCCCCGCCCCTCGGGTAGCGCTGAGGTGGCCAGAGGGACCTCGGGGTGCCACGTCGCACTCCTCGGGCTTTCGGGGCGTGCTACCCCGAGGCCCTCGCCTGACCACCTCGTGGCGGGGAGAGCGGGCGGGGCGAAAGACACTGCTCCGCGCCTTCAATGCGCGGTGCACCAACCGCCCCAAGCAGCATTTAATGCGGCGTGGAGGGATGTGCGGCGCCGCTCGATTGACCCATGTGTTGGTATTTCTTACGTCCACAGATAAATCCGCAAGCGCACGGAATACTGTTGTAGCACTTCACCTTCGGGTGACCCCAAAAAGATATCGAACTCAGGGAACGTGTGTAATTTACCTAAGGCTAAGACGATCCAATGACAACAACTATAGATAGGCTAGGCAAGCTAGAGAGGACTTTCTATGTGTTTTAATTATCTAAGCTAAGTTGAAGGTAATTTCCTATTTGTTGCTTCGGGCACCGACCCCTGCTGGTCTGCCAGCGTGGTTCCGGCTATAGCTCTATGATGTATCCGAACGTGGAGAATTATTAGGACGGGATTCAGGGCTGTTACCACTTGTCGCCTACCTCTGACAAATCCGTGGGATACACAACAAACAAAGGTAATCTCTAACCTAGACACCACGTCTAAGTTATTAATTACTACTCTAATACTTGTACATGAACTTCCTTCTTTATCCAGAGTCCTAGTACTAGAGCACTTAGTATGAATACTAGATAAAGAACCCGCAAAGATGAAAATCTATCTTACTTAGACAAAGTAATTAAATAATATAAGAAAGGAACACGAATGCTTACTTTATAGAAGAGGTTCTCCGAACCCAGAGCAGAGTGTACCGACAGCTCCGGTACTCCCCCCGAATTCCTCCTAGGAAGCTACACTCGTCGAGATAGAAGTCGGATGAGCGCCAAACTTCCGGGCACTCCTCCAGAGCTTCCCCTCACTCTCTACCTTATTATAATGTACAAAAGATACAATAGAGCCTCTTATAATTCAGCTCAAAATTGTGTGTCTTGGAAATGAGAATGTGACCTCCTTATATAGGCTCCAAATGACGGTTAGGGGTATGGGAAATGACCAAAACACCCTGCAACTGCCTTAGGGGAGAAATCCGAGCCGTCCAGGTGAAAGCAGATGATGGGAAGCGCCAGGATTGGTTTGTCCGAACTGGTGGGTTCGGCCAAACCCAAAAACTCTCCTCCCGGCCTCTCCTTCAGCCGGGAGGTTGCTTATTGGGCCCCCAACAACCTGGGCTATGTTTTGGCCCAATTCTAAATGGTTTTTATTGACTTATTGGGCCTCTAATCCGTGTAAACGCGTCCTGAATGCGCGGAGGTGCATTTTGTCACATGACGGATGTGTTTTCTCCTCAAATTACTTGCATACACATATTTCACCAATACTAGTGGAAATGATTAGTAATAATACCTACCACTAAGTTGGATACCATGTTTTATTTCATTATATGCAGGTATTGACGGTCCGATATTATGATTTAAGGACCGTCAACACCATATCAATCGAGCTTGACCGGCCTGTGACCGGTCACAGGCGACGGGACGGGGGCAGTGCCCCCACGTTCCGCCCTGTGTCAGGCGGAGTGGGGGCAGGTATGCCCTGTCCCATCGGCACGCTTCCAGGGGCGCCCCACGCGCGTGGTGAGCCGCCGAAGTCTTCATACAATAATAGGGAATGACAGGGATGTCCCCCGTGTCAGGCGGGGGCGGCGCTGGGCCCCACCTGGAGCCAGGCGACCATGTTGCTTCCAGTTGAAGCAAAGGATAGCGGTATGATTAGGGCCATGTGCCCCCCCTCCGATGGAGGGGTAGGTGCAAACAGTGCATGTGGTATCCCCTTGGACTATAAAAGGAGGACCTCGCCCACCGAGAAAGGGGACGACTCTCAGAGAACTTGAGCTCGGAGGAAGAACAGCTAGGTTTCCCTTAGAGCTCAAAACCTCATGTAAAAATTCACCATAATCCCATACACAAGAGTAGGGTATTACACTCAATAACGGCCCGAACCTGTATAATCCTTGATCTCCCACACAGCCACGAGAGCGATCTAGCGATTAGACCGCAAGCGGAAGTAGGCCCTTGATCATCGTGCCATTTCCCCCGGCCGAACTCACAAAGGGGGGGGTCTCACGACCACCTGCTAGAGAGGATCATTCCTCGACAAATACTTAGGAGGCAAGACGACAATCTGGAGATATCAAAATATGGCAAGCGACCAAGGAGATCAAGTTCATCTACCAAGCGAGTATGCACCACCGGCAACTTACTTCTCCTTTTCCATGGTATTACGCTTGGTATAAATGTATTATAGATTTTTAATGGTATGTGGATGATGCCTTTTTATATACCATATTATTATCCATTATGGGCATTGCCAGTTTCCACATTGACCCATTTTAAATAATCAACCACACTCATCTCATAGCCGGTTGAGAGAAAAGAATCAGTCACAAAAGAATCCACACAAGAAAGTGGTGAGGCAAGAGTGGAGGCCAAAGAAAAACAAAATACAATCTGAACAAGAGAGGCCTCTCGTAGCTTTCTTACATCACCATTAAACATTTAAGCCTTAGAGGAATTCATGGTCGGTATTGGTGGATATCGCCCTTAGATGATCTCATGCATAGTATTTTTTTGGCTCATAAGTTTGCCAAAAAGACAGGGGGGGCATGTGTTGATAATCAAATTTGGTAGTAGGGTCGAGTTATAGCAAGTTTGAGCCAAATTTAAAAAATGCCAGAGCTTTCCCGCGAAGGCTGGTCTAACCGTCATTATGTGGCCGGTCAAAGCAGACAATGCACTGAGATTAGACCATTGGTATCCAGGCGGTTAGATCTTAATCACATAGTCCAAGTCCAATTTAGATATTTCTCGTGTTTTCTTGTTTTAGACCGAAATTTTCAAGTCTTAGTTGATTTATATGCCTAAATGCATATGGAAAAACCCCAGGAAGCAAGTCCACCCCTTTTATAAATATAAGGGGGCCAAGGATGATTGAAACAACAAGCAATCAATCATGCATCAAAATCAATTTATTTATCCAAACCCTCTATATTCTACATCTCTCTCCTTCTTGCTACCTATCCAAATTCTAAATCCTCAAATCCTCGATTACTTGTCATCTCTCGTCTCTACGGTATTAGAGGACGTCCTAGTTGGCCTGCTGAGCCTAGAACAAACCGACGCACGTTCATCCTGATGGGGTCCTTCGCGGGTGGTCGTTGGGCGGCATCTACCCACTCCCTATGATGGCGCGTCTCCGAGTGCTGCCGCGAGTTACACATAACGTGCTCAAGGTGTGGCATTGCGATTCTACGTCAACATGAACAATCTTATAAATATTTAAATTACATTATGTAGAACACATGTCGCATTACATGTGCGAATAAATACAGACACGACACACATAAGCACTCTGAAATTATTTATCACCTGAAAGCCAATGCTTATGCACTGACTCCAAGTCTCCAACACATACATCGATCTGTAAAATCAAAGGTGTTTTTGATAATTATTCTGTGATGAACAATTGAGCATTAGAGATTATTGGTTTTGTTATTTGGAATTTATTCACGAAGTGGTTTGGAGATGATTGGATTTCACAGGTGAATCTACAGGTTATCATTTTATGTGGACCGGTCAGACCGGGCAGGTGTTGCCGGTCAGACCAGCGGTGATCAAGCGGTCGGACCGGCCAGCCCGCGGTCTGACCGGCCGACACTGTGTCGGTTTCGGTTTCGGGTTGTTTATTTGGATATCCGAGTTTATTTCATGATTATGACTTCTAGATGGATATTATACGTATGTAATACTATTGTTTACTGCTAATGAGTCAAGTTGGAGATAGCTTGGTCTCGGAATATGGTTTCTTTGTCTATTCCATGTGTAGGTGACTCGATGTCTCGGGAGAGTATTTACGGTGATGGACCGGGAGTTGGCTTGGGGATAAGACGACGTCCGTTGTGGTCAGAGATCATGCGGGATACTAAGGCTAGAGTTGATGCACGTGGTTGATGGAGATTCCATATGGCATACGATGGAGTTATTGTGTGCGTATGGGATGCGGAGTCGAAATTGGAAGGAGTCCAAATTTGGTACGATTGGTTATGTAAAGTTTCTTTCTTGTACTAGAGGGTTTCCTAAGGTGTTTAGGACTCCTAGTATGAGTTTGGTTCGTGGCTTTAGGCTGCCTACCTCATGTATAAATAGAGGGGGAGCGTGAGGCTTCCCGGTATCGCTTTAGAGAGCAATAGAATTGAGTTTTGAGTTAGGGTTTCGAGTTTAGTCGAAATTTTTGTAAGGAGTGTTGTTGGTGCACTTTGTAAACATAGAGAGAATTAATAAAGTCGTCATTCACTTTAAGAGTTCTTCGATTTGTGTTTCACCGGGTTTCGGCGGTCTAACCGACAACTCACCGGTGGTCAGACCAGCGGCATTGCGGCGGTCAGACCGGCGGGAGCACGGCGGTCAGACCGACGGCGGCGACAGTAGGCGGCAGGCGATCACGGCGGTTAGACCGGTAGATCAACACCGGTCAGACCGGGGGCTACGCTTCGGTCAGACCGGCTAATCTACTTCGGTCAGACCGATCTCCATCGATTTCGAGGGTAACTTTTATTTCCGCTAAAAGTTTTCGGTTTTTGGGTATACCAACCATTCACCCCCTCTGGTTGGCTTAGTTCTTGTGATTCGATCCTACACGATCGATCGATCTCACACAGTCACACTCCTCTCACATCTCACAACTTATATTTATTCTTCACGAACAAGCTGACCTGCAAATTAATTAATCACGCAACCAAGTGTGGATTGATGGAATGGATGATCGATCGATTCAGTGGTAGACCGGCGGAGAGCTGGGAGACGGCGCAGCTCCGCCACTGTTCCCCTGGGCGCCGCCACCACCGTTTCCCGCACCGCCACCACCACCGTTCGCCGGCAATGGCGTTGGCTTGGGATCCGGCTTGGGTTCGGGGCCTTGGGGTTTCTTGTGGAAATAGTCGAAGAAGGGGTGCTTGTGGAAGTAGTCGTACAGGAACGCCGACGTGCACTCCGCCGGCGATGTGGAGGAGTGCATCCTCTTGCCAGCGACGACGACGAAGGTGTTAGCCTTGTCGCCGCCGTTGTCCGTTGTTGACGACAGCGGTACGATCTTGGACGGCTCCTGCCCGGGGCACGGCGTGCTGCTCGTCGCGCTGTGCAGCTGCGCGAAGCAGTCGGCGGCGCCGTGGAGGTCGTCGGCGGCGAGGGGCACGCTGAAGGCGCCGTCGCCGTCGAGGTCGCCGACGGCCTTGCTCTCGTACTCGCCATCGCTGTTCTTGCACTTGATCGCCACCTGGAGACCTGAACATCACCAAACAATTAATCAAGGACGGTGATATATCGATCGCAATTAATCAATGATGAACATATCATCATCATCATCATCATCATGATATATATATACCCTTGAAAGCATCCTGCGCCATCATGTTCTTCCTGGTGCACTCGCCGCACTTGGCCTGACCGACGACGACCGCCGCCACCTCGCCGTCCGCAGCAGCGGCAACTGCCATCACGGCGGCGCAGACGACGGCGGCGAAGAGTAGTAGTGTTCGTGCTACATGTTGAAATTGTATCTTCAGCTGTGGCCCCATCGTGATCCATTTTGCAGTTGCAACGGTGTGGAGAATAAGTCGCCAGCAGGTTGTTAGCAGGCGCGGGTGATGCGGCGATCTGGGAGTTGAAGACCGTGTCGTGTGCGTGAGTTTAGCGCAGGGGAGTGTGTGTGTAGCGAGTCAGAGAATTGCGGATCGTGGGATGGCACGATTTTTGCCTCGGATTCGTTCTGTTATGTATGGAGTATAAATAGTTTATTTAGCTCAGTTTTACAGTTGTAAGTTTATTATTCAGTTGAATGAAAAACAACCAGAAAATTCCCCAAAGATTGTGCGATCTAGTTCAGAGTTCTGAAACTTCTCTGTTCTTCACTCTGCTCTGAATTTCTCCTCTCAGTTCCTTGTCACTGTTGCTGTGTTGTGCCGTGCCGGACGCGTGCAGTCTGCGCGCAAGGTGTTCGATCAGGGAAATCTTCGCCAACACTACTGATGCCATTGCTGAATCAATCCTAGCAATTAGCAAACTCTATTGCCCCTCCTCCTTACTATGTGTGGATGAGTGAAGAAGAAGCAGAGGCCATGCATGGTTTATATAGGCGCCAGCATGCATAGCATCATGTAGATCGATAAAGGCTACCTGGGAGTGAGCTGAGATCAGCTAATTATATTACATCATGATTAGAAATTTGCGCCGAATTTGCAGGTTCAAAATTAATGCCGTAAGTTTGATTTTATCAGGCAGTACCGATCGATTAAGAGTAGTGCACTGTGAACGTGCACACTGCATGCAGTGTTCACCCTTGATGCTCTTGCTTCCAATTGGTGGTGTTAAACAAGCAAAAGTTATGCTTTAATCGAGTAGTACTCCTACAGTACACAGTGCTACTAGTCCGTTTTATTAAAAAGGAGGATAGTTCTATACTATAGGACAGCTTCAACCAAATTGCATTATTGATACTATTGTGCTTTCTTATTACTGTCTTGGTTAATTTGGCTCTTGGATAATTACCTGTTTAAATTTATCAGCATATACTGCCTACTAGTATTTGCAGAAATCGAAGCCAGCATAAGTTTAAGTAAAATGTTATTGTGTCTTCGTCTATTTTAATAACGTAGTGTACGTGAGTATATGAGTGTGGTGTCACCGACTACACGTGCATCTTGTCTATGTAATGGAAAAAGAAAATCTCTTTGCTTCCTTAGGCTGAATCCACCATGGCAGTCCAGCGCATATTCTAGATGCCAACCTGTATGCATGACCCGACATGAGCATATGTCAACTAGGCCTTTTTCTTTACCTCTTCACCCACCTTGCGTCTCTGCAACACACAACGCCACGGGCTGAGATAAAGACGAGAATGCTCCAGCCAGACGCTAGATCTAGCCCAAAAAATGGGTAGCCCATGTCCAAGCCACCCCATGAACTCCTCCATGAACTCTTTTGTACACAATGCTATCTTTTTATCTGAATTTTAGGTAGTTTCAAATTGTATTTCTATATGGACTATTTCTTGTAGTTTTAATTTTTATTCCGACTTTTAGATTGAATTATATTTATACATATAATTTTATTTCAATATTTATTTTAAATTTTTAATCCGAATTTCATATTTTTCAGCCTAAAAGGTATTTCTACGTTGACTCTTGTCTTAATTTAATTTTTAAATACGAATTTAAGTTTTCTTTTCAAAATTGCATTTCTACATGTACTTCTTTTATCCTTTTATTATTATTCCGAATTACAGATATTTTTAATCTATACACTTGGACTCTATTTTTTTCTTTTTTATTAATATGGGAAATTCTAGGTCATGAGAGTGAATATGGTGGCTTTTATATTGTTTTATTGAGTTAATAATAGATCGACAGTTACAGGTGTTCCTTTTTCTGTTACTTCATGAATATTTCAATAACTAGATGAAACTCTGCGCATTACTGCGGAAATTTAGTATGATAACAATAAAAAAAATAACGTGTAAGATAACTAGATAACATCAGATTAAGTAAATTAATGTGGTTTACGATAATTTAAATTTAAATAGTATGTAGAATGGTGATTCAAACGTAAAAAGTAAGGTGGTATGACTTTATGGAAGAAGAAAAGTAGGGAGATAGTTTGTACCGTAGATTAATCATCTAAAGGCTAAAAACAATTGATGTGATATGACTTAATTAGAGGAAAAAAAGAGAAAGATAATTTGAACCATAGATTAATCATTTAAGCACTAACTAAGTGAGGATGAACTATATAAGTATATAGGATATCATAAAACATAATAAAGATATACATTGAAACATGATGTGAATTCACATAATTATGTTAGATTATAATTTAACATGTTTGTATTTGAAAAGCTCTTAAATTATAAAAACTATAAAGATATAGCATGTTTGCATGATGTTTAAATGTGATGATTGTTAGTGAATGATGATGTGGTATCTTGTTAATTAGTGGATGATGATGTGGCATCTTGTTAGTGGATGATGATGTGGCATCTTTGCATGTTAAGCTTAAGAAGTTAGTGGGGGATAACTTTATAGTAAGATAGGATATATTTGACATTTACAGCTAGCTCTTTTTTTCTTTTACTTAATTTAATTTTTTTTATAGTAAGATAGGATATATTTGACATTTACAGCTAGCTCTTTTTTTCTTTTACTTAATTTAATTTAATCTAATAATATATTTACATGTTACAGCTAACTGGACAAAAAAAATAAGGGCTAAAAAGGAATCGAAGTCTGGACCTATAGAGTGTCCTCGCTAGTGGAAACCACTGCACTAGAACAGCATATTGTTATTTTTAGTGCAGGATGCTAAACAAATATTTGGGTGTTAGCGTAAACCTCATCAGCACAAAATCATTTATTTGTCCCCAAAACAACTCACCTAAAAGAAATACTTAGCTTCTTCATAGCACAGCAATATTTTGTATATAGTACAAACAACTGAACAAATAAGTCCATTTGAACACACGACGAAAAAATTCATTGAGAAAATAGTTAGAGAAATATATCAAGGCAGATAACAAAATTAGTGATAAAAAATACTTCAAAAGTGTATGAACATATCACACGATCGAAATAACAGACAAATCCCATTAAATAATGAAGTCTATCACAACAAAACTAGCTTGTTGGGTCATCCTCATCACTATCTGATGGTTCTGTACCCATATCATATAGATCCCTCGGCCTATATGGTTGTGCAACATGCCATCCTTGTGCTTTTGGTTCCTGCACATAGAACACCTGTGATACTTGTGATGAGAACACAAAAGGATCATGCTCCATCTTCTCTCCCTTATCTTCCTCTGTCACCTCCTTATCACAACAACAACTCAAGCCCGCTGGTCACCGCGAACTTGTTCTCCTTCGAGCCCGATGTAAGTACTTTTTTTTTTAACTAACGTATTAGTATTTTTTAACTAACATATCATATTCAATGGATAAAGCACTGTCGCTATTTAGAGGCTCCTACTGTGTATATATTAAATATATATAATTAAAAAAGAAACTGTATAGATCTCAATGCATGCTGTCTAGCCATTCTATAATCGGAAAAAGTACGAATTACCCCTTCCCCGAACTATCGCGATCGTCCGAATTATCCCCTTGAACTCGAAAACCAGACATTTTACACCCTCAACTACTAAAACCGAACAAATAACCCCCCTACTCAATCTCTGGAGTGGTTTTGATCCTACGTGGCATACACGTGTCAGCCAAGTCAGCAATCCTTTAAAAAAATTCGGTGGGGCCCACCTGTCAATCTCTCTCCTGTATTGCTCACCTTCTCTCTCCTCCTGGATTCATCCCCTCCCCTCGCTAAAGCACGCAGCGGCGGGGCGAGCGGTGGCGGCGGGCGCGGCTGAGCGAGCGGAGGTGGCTGCGGGCGCGGCTGGGTGAGCGGCGGCGGCTGCTGCGGGCACAATTGGGCGAGCGTCGGCGGCGACGACGGCGGCTGCGGATGCTAGCCTCGCCGGCGAGCTCCGCCACGGGCCCCCACCCTGGCACCACCGCCCACCGTGTCCACCTCCACTATGCCGACGTCCACGTCCGTCTTGGTCCGCCTCGGTGCGTGGGCGAGCGCCTCGTCGCCGTCGCCTTCGTGCACCACCGGGAGCAACAGCACGGTCGTCGCCTCCGCCACCACGGGCACGGCGGGGCGCGAGACGGCGGCGGAGGCGCTGTCAGTGTCGTCGTCGTCCATCTCCTCCCCGGCGACCTTCCTCCCTGCACGGTCGATCTCCAGCTCCACACGCGCCCTCGCGGACTCCGTCTCGACCACCTCCAACGCGCGCTCCAGCTCCGCCACGTAGTTGTTAACAGTGAAATTTGGTAAGCCCGGAGTAGTCATCGGCGTAGAGTCAGCATCGGCTTCGAAGTCCTGAGATTAGCCGATGAGAGTTGTCAAGTCGTCAGTTGTCGGATTCTTGCTATATTCGGTTAAGGAAATTGATCTACTAAAGGAAGCTTATCCAGAAGAGACCGAGTTTAAAGAGAATACGGCATGGTAAGTTATCTATTAATTAGGAATAGTTTGTTAGTTTCCTTTTATCTTTAGGAAAGTGTGTTTAGTGTCCTATAAGGACTTTATCTTTTCCTTTTATCTTTAGGAAAGTTTCTTTCTTGTCCGACAAGGACTTATATCAACCCATGGATATAAATATGTACACCTGGGGTCTATGTAATCTGTCCTCACGATCAATACAATTCGGCGCATCGCCACCTTTTTTACTTCTACTTTTGTTTTTACGTTCCGGCGGAACTTGGCACCCGACGCGGGGCTGCATCGTCTTCGATCTCCGGCGAAGGGATAAGTCCAATGTTTCACCGGTCCAGGCAATTGTATCGTTTACGTCGGCGTCAACAGTAGTCCTCACCACCTCGACGCCACTTGTCGCCAGTCCTCGCGTGCCGACCGCCCGCGACGCTGCACCCCACCAGCCCTCGCCCGCTGATGGCCCGCGCTGCCAACTGTCGCTGGCCCTCGCGCGCCGACCGCAACAGCCGCACGCGCTTCAAAAACGAGAAGGTCACACACCCCTGTTCCCGCGCTGACCGCCCCCACCGCCTGTCCCCGCGCCAGCCGCCCCTACACGCCGCCGCCCACCGCCCGTCCCCGCGCTG